AAGACCAGACTTACAGTGATCCTCCTGTTTTCAGCAGCCCAGCGCTGAGATTACAGGTGTGCGCCACCACACCCCGTTTCTGGGGCCTGCATGGTGCACCCTGGATTCCAGGGCCCACACGGCATGTGGTGCTTGGGGTTGAACTCTGGTCCCTGCACTTGCCTAAGCAGGTGCTTAGTCCACTGAGCTGTCTCGCCAGCCCTGCAGCACAGAATTTGAATTTACTTCTAGGAATGAAATTTGTGTCGCTCCATCTACACCATCACCTGGTTCTTACAGAATTCTTGAGTGCCTCCTGGCCTAACCGGGAACCCACAGCCACACGCCTGTGACTCAGGCCTGGACCCAAACAGGGTTAGAACCAGGCAGCCGCTGGCACAAGCCGGGGTCTCTGTGGTTCTCCCTGGCCAGTGGCCAGCTGTACTTTTATTCTGTGGCTGATTGAAAGTTCATTACTCTGCAACTCGCCCATTGAAGTTCAGAATTTGGGGCCGGGGAGATAGCTTGGTATCCTAAGTACCTGCCTGGCAAGTGCAGGGACCCGGGTTCAATCCCTGGTACCATATGCTGTACCAGCCCTGGAACTTGGGATGCACCATGAAGGCCCTAGAAGCAGGCGTGGTGGCACACACCTGTAATCCCAGTACTGGGGATGCTGAGACAGGAGGATCACTACAAGTCTAAGCTGCATAGCGAGACCCTGTAAATAAATAAAAGATCAAGGGCTGGGGAGATGGCTCAGTAGAATAAGCGCTTGCCTGACAAGCGCAAGGGCCTGAGTTCAATCCCTGGTTCTGCCAAAAATAAAAAATAATAAAATAAAAGATCAAAAAAATAATAAAGTACAGAGTTTGGTAGTTTTTTTTAAAATGTATCTTTTTTAAAATTTTATTTGTGTGTGTGTGTGTGTGTGTGTGTGGCCAGCTCAGCCCACCAGGGGGCGGGCTGGCTGGCATGTGGTGCTGGGGGATTGAACCGTGGTCCCTGTGCTTTGCTAAGCTTGTTCTAAGTAGGTGCTTTAGACCACTGAGCCATCTCACCAGCCCCCAAATGCAGGCTTTTTTTTGTGGGGGGGCTCCAGATTGCCTCAAGTATCTGGGAATCGGACCACCGCTCCCAGAGACTGACTGCTTCGTTTAAGCAGGCACTTAAACAACTGAGCTAATGGGCGGGCCCCCTATAGTTTATGTTTTTATAGTAATGGGGATTGAAGCCTCTGTACCAACCTACATTCCCGATTCTTTTTACCGTTTTTTATTTGGGACAGAGTCTTGTTTTGTTGTTCAGCTGGCCTTGAACTCACTATGCAATCCAATCTGCTCTGAACTTCGGTACAGTCCTCCTGCCTCAGCCTCCCAGGGTGCTGGGATTACAGGCATGAACCACTACTCTCAGCTGGATCTCGATTTTTAAATTTTATGTATTTATTTATTTTTGGCGGAACCGGGGATTGAACTCAGATCCTTGCGTTTGCCAGTCAAGCACTTATCCTACTGAGCCATCTCCCCGGCCCCCTAAATTTTATTTAAAAACAAAAGGTCAGAAGCTGATACTGCTTGTGGAGGCTTAGTCCCTGCCTGCTGGCCACAGCTACGTGTCCCTCACAGCAGTGGGGTCTCTTTATGAGGCAGGTGGCGCAGTTGTGGTGACAGGGCATTTGGTGCCCCAGGTTCAGCCTGAGCCATCTTGCAGGACACAGTGGTGATGGAGGGCGTCTCTGGGGTCCCTTAGGAATGAGCCACTGTCCCTGGCACCCAGGCCCTCACCGGGTACTGCCACAGCACCGCCGCCCCGGGCTGGCGTGGCCCTAGCTGTACACTCTAACCCACCACCTTCTCCACAGGTTCGCCAAGTACTACAGGGGCCTCAGCGGGCAGGAGCAGCGTACTCTCATCAAGGCCTATGGCATCCGCTTCGACGTCATCGTGTTCGGAAAGGTGGTTGGGCGCGCCACCCCGTGTCCCTTCTCACCCCGCCGGGCCGCTCCCTGCCTTGTATCAGCGGGCCCCGAGTGGCTCGGAACTCGGTTTTTCACCTTCTCCTGTTGCCTGCAGGCTGGGAAATTTGACATCATCCCCACCATGATCAACGTGGGCTCAGGGCTGGCGCTGCTGGGCGTGGTGAGTGCTTCACTCCTGGACTTTAGCCCCTCACCCTCCTTCCTGCGGGATTAGGCCCCTCGGGCCCCCAGAGCCCCAGTGAGGACCCTGTGCTTCCAGAGAAGGGGCCAGGTGGTCAGCGGGAGCCCAGAGCACCCCGTTCTTTCTTGCTTGCCCTGTGCTGACTGCAGGCCACAGTGCTGTGCGATGTCATTGTCCTCTACTGCATGAAGAAGAGATACTACTACCGGGAGAAAAAGTACAAGTTTGTGGAAGATTATGAGCAGGTAGGCGCTGCTGTGCTCCCAGCAGCCAGGATATCCGGGTGGCGCTTGTGCTAGGGCAGAGACCCCTCTGTCCTGGTGGCTGTGTGTTCATCCATCGCCCCAGCAGTCACACGCCACCCTGGGCATCCGCGCCATCTCTAGATCCCTGGTTCTTTACATGGACTCTCACTCTGAGCTGGCCACACTGGTGCACACCTATAATCCCAGTTACTTGGGAGGCTGAGGCAGGAGAATCCCAAGTTCTAGGTCACTGTCCTGGGCAACGTCTTCCCATGTCTCAAACTAAAATAAAAAAGGTCTGAGCTGTACTCAGTGGTAGAGCCTCTCTCTCCCTATCACGCAGGTAGCCAGGACCTGTCCCCAGTACTGGGGGGAGGGGGAGCTTCATTTTCATTAGTGACATCTTGAAGGGGTTCTAGTAACAGATGTTCTGCCCAAAGCTGTGCCCACGCAGCACTTGCATTCAGCTTCCGTAACAAGAGGGTTGGCCACATGTGAGACCTGCTCTATGGTGGGGTGAAGGGACCGGCCCGCTGCTCAGGAGAGCACCTGGCTCCCGCCTGCACCACAGTCCTGCACACACTCACCTGCTCATCCTTCTTTCAGGGCCTTTCTGGGGACACGGACCAGTGACACCTGTCCACACCGGGCTCCCATGGCCCTTCATGGATGCACAGGAAAGGAAGGAGAGAAATGGCTACTCTGTCTCCCAAAAATGTTCTGGATTTGGGCTCAGTCTCCACAAGGACCCAGGGTAGCCCAGCAGCTGCTGTGTTCTGTGCAGGGGTCCCTTTGCCCCTGGCACAGTGGTCATGTGGTTGTTAGCTGGGCCACCTCTTCAGGGTGTTGCAGGGAGTGGCCAGCCCGAGGCAGCAGCGACACTGCTGCGGCTCACAGGGCTGGGTCTCCTCTGGAGCCCGTCTCCAGTCCTCGGGACAGGTCCAAGCCTCTGACCCACAGCAACCCAGTTCAAGCACCTTGTAAGGAAAGGGAACCCAGGTGTGGTGGTGCCCGCCTAATCCCAGCCCTCAGGAGGCTGATGCAAGAGGATCTCTGAGAGTCCCAGGCCAACCTGGATGAAACAGACCTTGTCTCAAAAACTAGAAGGAAGGAAAGGAAGATCTCTCCAGTGTGGCTGCCAGACTTGTAGCAGGCCTGAGCTGCTGCTCCTTCTAAACCCCAAGCAGAGACACTTTCCTTCCCGACTTGAGCCGGGGACAGAATTTCTGTTTTGAGGGCAGCTATGTTGAGATACACTAGGGGCCAAACATTAAACAAAAGACTTTTCTTAACCTCATCTGTGTCATCTCATGTGTTCTAGGACTTGCCTTCCCTCTATGCAAGTTATCAACTATCAGTGCCAGGCATGGTAATCCCAGCACCCAGGAGGCTGAGGCAGGAGGGTCACTGGGAGTGGGCGACAAAATGAGAAAAGGAGATAGGGATATAACTCAGCGGCATAGCACCTGCCTGGCAAGCACAAGGCCTGAGTTCTATTCCCAGTACCCTCCCCCCGACACACATACAAAATAAAAATTAAAAGGAGGGAAAGGAAAAGAAGACAGTAAATGTTCCAACATAGGGAGCCCTGGGCCTCTGTCCCAGAGCAGCTCCCAGGTACCTGAGGAGTGGCCAGGACACTCAGGCTTGGAAGCTCTGCTGACAAAGCCCAGCTCTTGGGGAGCTGCCTGAGCTTCCGGAACCGGGGATTGAACTCGGGCCCTTGCACTTGCCAGGCAAGCGCTCATTCTACCCATATCTCCCCAGCCCCCTGCCTGAGCTTTAATGCCCAGGTGAGATGACATTCTCCAGAGGTGGAAGGTCACACAGGAGCTTGGCCCTCAGGCGGGCTCGCCTTCCCAATGTGCCAGGCAAGGTACCCGGGAATGGGTCTACACAGGGCCCAGCACACATTCTGCCCGGTGTGGGTGACACCAAGCAGCGACAGCAAGAAAGGCCCTCATCAGGACCGCTGACTGCACCGGCTTCACCTGGGACACCCGACCCGCCGTCCACCCGAGGACGGCAAACGGACACTGGGACCCACGACGCTAGACGCCAACGCTACGCCCACGAGCGCAGGGCTGCACCATTTTGCTGTTTATTTCAAGTTTACAGAGCAGCTTAATCGCCTGTGGAAAACCATCAGGGGCTTGTCTTTCTCGTAGGTTCCTGTACGCAGAAGTGATAAATACACAGTATTTAACTCTGTACACCTGATAAAAGGAAATGCATAGTAGAAAGGATCGGGGCAGAACAGAAGCATTACGGGGCTTCGGATAGATCACAGGATAGAAAAGGCAACAGTCCCACAAAACTGGAGGAAAGACGGGAGCCAACGAGCTTGAGACTGTCCCTAGCACCTTGGGAACTGGTGGGCGTCCCAGCCCCACAGCGGCGCTCGGCCCCTCTGATGGGAGAGCCGTGCGTGCGCCGGGCCTGCTGCCTGCGCAGGCCTCGCCCGGAGGCCTCGCTTCGGTGGCGGGTGGCGGTGTCTGCAGTCCCAGGTGCCAACAGGGTGCTCGGTAGGGTTTCTGTGGGTGCTGGCGACCTGTGGGTGGACTGGCAGGCGGAAAGGGCGGAGGAGCAGAGCGGGGAAGGTGCGTGCTTCCCCGGGCCACGCCCACCACGTGGGTCCCGCAGAAGGACCACCCGGGCGGACCCCTGGGCACCCTTTCTGCCCAATCAGAAAAGCCACTGCCGGGAGCTTTGCCCTTCCCGGCAGCGCCGGCCTTTTGCGCTCCAGAAGGGCTGGCTCTAACGCTTTAGCTACAGCTGTGCCTGCCTAGCCTTTCCATGGGGCCGGCCGTTCCTTTCCTCAGCTTCCTTCCGTGTTTGTTTAAAAAAGTTACTGATGTGGACCTCCCCCAACCGACCCGCCCCAACGGCTGGGAGCCTCGAGGTCGCGGGTGTCCCCCATGCCGTCCTGGATGGCACTGCCCGGCTCGGCCACGTAAACGCCAGAGTTCGGCAGCACCCTGCACTCCCTGCCCCTCAGGGCGGCCGAGCGGGCCGCAGCCCGCACACAGAGGCTGGGCCTAAGGAACGTTGGCTTTCACCACAAGGTGCTTACTGCAAACCACCCAAGCCCCACTTGTACCGGACGGGTGGAACTGCTGGATCATAGCCCCATAAATTTAAACAGGGAAGGCGAGAGGAAGCACTAGGTTACAAAGACAAAAGCAAGAAGGCAAAGCAACCTTCCCCAGACCCCGGTCTTCGCGCTTCAGAACCAACATGCCCTAATTCTAACTGCTTGTGTGACAGCAAGAAAGGTCAAAGGTCTAAACTAGTCAAGAGCTGAGGACAATTTATGGAAGCCAACAATATCTGGGCCCTGTAAATGGCTGAACAGGGGCACAAGCCTTAGAAACTGGCAAGTCCTCCGAGCCCAGGTCCAGACCCCCCAGAGCGCTGGGAGTGAGGCCACAATCCACCAGGGGTCTCTCAAGGGCAGCTCTGGGTGAAGCCGCACCCAAACCTCCAGGAGACTCCCTGTGGAATTTCCTAGGTGGAAGTCAGAAGAATCAACCCGTTCTTTCTGGACTTCTGGCTACAGAAGGAACCACCAGTGCCAACCCCTGTCCCTTGTGACCTGAGGAGTGCTCTGGGTTTCGACAGTGATCCCTAAAAGGGCATTCTAACATCATCATGTGGCTCCCGCCAAATTCACGGACAGAGGACCGTCCTTAGTATCTCAGCCAAGGAGGAGTATCTTCCAGGAGGCACACCAGAACCTGGGGAGTGTCTCCTTGCCTGCAAGCCAGCCAGCGCTTAGGATGCAGATGGAATCAGCAGTCTCTAGGATACACAGGGTACAGACAGGCCGCGGGGGTTTCCCGGCTCGGTCTCCCTAACTTGGCGGAAGCCTGGAAGCTCTAGTAACTTCTGAACTTTCCCGAGTTCAGTCTAGTTCAGAGAATTGAAAATGGTTTTTTTTTTCTTGTTTTGTTCTGTTTTTTTGGTGACTCTTAAGCCATGTAATGCACATGGAAGTGTAGGATTTCACCCTGAAGTTGTTTTTTTTTGTTTTTGTTTTTGTTTTTTAACTGAACAGAGATATACTAACTAGTGCTTGGCCAGCAACCTCAGGAACCCTATGTGAACAGGTGATGTCCTCCAAGCACAGCTGCCAAGTGCTTTTCTAGGGTAGGAAAATTCCCTTTGAGAAGCAATTAAATGTCAAGCCCTTTCGGTTTTCCTGACTACATTCTACCCATAAAAAATTTAAGTCCTTGCAAATTCAGTTGCATCCAAGCTGCCTGCAGCTGTGAGCACGGCCTGGCCCTCATGGGCTCCAAAGGGCCCACGAGGGCTGTGGTGACCCAAGCTTTCTTTTCCCTGCCAGTTGCAGGGCTGCCCTCCGTGGCCCCCCAGAGCGCTCTGCTCATCTCTGTATGTTAAACTTCACACACGTTCACTTGGATCATCTGACACAGTTCTGAATTCATGATAAAGGGTTTTTGGCATAAAAATGTTTTAAAAAGCAACTGTCCCAGAATGCACATGGGTTTGGATCCACAGCTCCTCACACCCACCAGCCCGGCCAGCGGGTGGCCGAGGTCGACGTCACAGAGTCAAGTCCTTTTTCTTTGTCTCCTTTAAGACAACAAAGGAAAAAAAAAAAAAAAGCAAAGAACCAGAGATGGCGGCCAAGGCTTTACACGCGTGCTCGGTTTCCGTAGGACATGCTGCTATGGAAACACGGTGCAGCAGCCCGAGCTGCAGGGCCTCGTGGCCGGCATGCGAGGTCAGCAGTCCAGGTGGCTACTCCGGCTCCATCGCCTCCTCAGGCGGCCGGTGCATGCAGGCGGGGGAGCCGGTGGCCGCAGCCCCCCAGCTCTCAGCGCAGGGCCCACCTTTCACAAGAGCACTTCCTCCTCCTCCTCCCCCACGGGGGCCGGGTCGGGACCCCGCAGGCTGTCTTCGCTGCTTTGCTTCCTGCTCATCGAACAGAAAACCAGCGTTAAGGCTTGCAGAAAGGACACCAGGGCCCAGACCCGTCTCCCGCTGTGGGCAGCCTGCTCCGGGGTGCGCCCACAGCGCCGCCCAGGACATGCCCGCCTTCCCTGGTACCTTCAGATGCTCTCCCTTTTTCTCATGCCTGCGTGACTTCTTCCAAGAAGACTACACTTGCCCTGTCAATGAGAATCTGCTGCGCACTGCTGCAACTAATGCACCTACATGAGGCAGGCAGAGCTAGAGTCTGGGCTCCCCTCCCCCTTTAGGCTGTGAGCCCCTGCAGGGCGGGAGTGTGAGGCCTCCCTTTAGTGTCCTCTGAGCTCTGGGAGGCAGTGGAAAGGCGTTCCCAGTTTACTGTGACACCAGTGACCTCCCGGAACCAGCCCGGCCCTGCTCAGGAAAAGCCCTCAGGGGATGAAAAGCAGGAAGATGAATCTCTCTGGCCCTGAAGGGCCTCTCCTGTCACTGCTTGGTGTGACAGCTGCGGCTGGGGTTCAGGCAGTGGGCAGGGATCTCAAAGGAGGGACCTGAGCCCCTGCCCAGCCTCAAGCAGTCTGTCTAAGTAAGGAGGGGATCCAGACCTGTCACCCAGCTACAGACCACTGCTCCCAACCACAACCTGTACGTCCGTGGCCCTGTTCTGGGGCAGGGGAATCAAAGTGTATGTGTGACCCTAGGAAGAAACCCCTTTGCCTGAAAATCACATTCACTGTCTGCTGTTCCTGATGACAAATACAGGTAAAGGCCTCAAGGAGGAGAGGGCTGTGCAGACACCAGGGCAGGGGTGGCCTTGCCACAGACAGCAGCCTTGGGGTTGAGGACCCCGGCACTGACCACGCTTTCTGGGCTCCTGGACCAGGCATCCCCCCTGGGCCGCAGACAGGTAACCCCAGGGTTGCTGGGTCTACAGGTCTTACAATTTTGACCTCATGGAAATAAGAAAGAAACACAATAGACAGGCACCGGCAGGGAGGCAGCCCCAGCTCTGGCAGCCCAACAGGAGTAAAGAAGGGCAACCTCCCTCCTGGACCAGGTAAAGGCAAGCGTACACGTCCCTCACTGTCCCTCAGGCAGCCCCTGCCTAGTCATCACCAATGAGACGGGGTTGGGAGGGACCGGGTGGCTTTTGGAGGCTGCTGCAGCCTATGCCCAACTGCCACTACTGGGAGGCTGGTGAGATAGCTCAGTGGTCTAAAGCACCTACTTAGAACAAGCTTGGCAAAGCACCAGGGACTGTGGTTCAAACCCCCAGCACCACATGCCAGCCAGCCCCACCCCCTGGTGGGCTGAGCTGGCCACACACACACACACACACACACACAAATAAATAAATAAATATTTTTGTAAAAAAATTGCCACTACTGGCGGCTTCCTGCTCTGCTTCAGAGAGCAGAGCTTCTCCCCAAAGCACGAACAGCTCCTAGATAACCAGATCAGCCTCTGGTTCCTAGAGGCAGGCGGCTAAGGGATGTCCTCTCTTAAGGCAACTCCTAATGGATACAAATGGCTCCACCTGTACACACATGTTCAGCACAGCATTATTCATTTGGGACAGGCAGAAGTGGAAGAACAGATACGGGGATCAACAAGGCGTGGCCCACCCGTTCAAGGGTCATAAGAAGGGAGCGCTGCTCCATGTAGCAGCGGGCTATGGGTAAATCTTGCAACAGGACGCTTAGTGAGACAAGCCAGCCACGCAAGGCATGTACTTAGTGGCTCCATTTACAGGCAATGTCCAGAATGGGGAAATCCATGGAAAACTGAAACTCGGAGAGCGGCTTCTAGGGAACAGGGGGGCTGGGTAGGGACAGCTCAGAGAGGCAGGGCTTCTGCTTGGGCTGATGAAACTGTTCTAAAGTTGATTGTACTGCAGGCTGCAGAACTCAACATTAAAAGCCACTGAATCGTGCACTAAACAGGTGTACTCTATAGTAGGTAAATTCTCTCTCAGTACAGTTAGTGGAGGATACTAGGGACGAACCCAGGGCCTCAGGCATGTTGGGCAATTGCTCCACCACTGAGCTGTACCACCAGCTCTCCAGACAGCTTTTAAAAATTCTCTTTATTTATTTTGTATTTTGTTTTTTTGTTTGTGGCCTGAAGATTCCTTGAGGGCATTTCTGGTTTGGTGTATCTGGGTTTGAACCACAGCATATTGAGCATGAGTGCTTTGTTTAAGCAGGCACTTAAACAACTGAGCTAATGAGCAGGCCCCTATTTTGTATGTTTGAGACAAGAGCTCACTATGTAGTTCAGGCTGACCTTGAACCCACAGCCATATTCCTACCTCAGCCTCCCCAGGGCTGGGATTACAGGTAGAGCCACCAGCCCGGGCCAATAATGGTGTTTTTAACAGCAGAAGTGACTGCTTGGAGCTCCCAGCTCACTTTTTAGGTCTGAATGTAGGTGGGTGCTGGGGAGCCCCTGGGAAGAGACACAGGGCGCATAGGCCTGCGCACAGGCTCCAGCGCCTCCATCGTGCACCGAGGGCGCGGCACTGGGGTTTGAAGCCCTGGGTGAGCTCACAGGCATTCCGGGTGGAGCGCCATGCACCGCAGCCCCGGCCCACATGCATGGCCGCACCGGCAAGCCCCCGGCGCACCTGGTTTCCACCAGGCCTGGAGGCAGCCGGGGGCGCTGGGCGGAGTCCCGCGCTCTGCAGCGCCCGCCCCCAGCCACGGCAGAGGCTAGCACAGGCAGCAGGCGTTACCTTGGGCTCAGACAGGGGCTCCCACTCCCTGGGTGGTTTTTTGCTGGAATTGCCAGAGGGAAAAGGGAAGTGAGAAAGGACCCTTAGGATCCGTGGGGTGCCCACCCCTCCCGAGGACAGCAGACCCCAACTCTCGCTTCAGAGCTGCTGCTCGAGGCCCCATTACTAACGTGGCACCACACAGAACGTCAAAGTCCCCGCGGCACCCTGGCTTCCTGGCTTCAGGGACCCAGACGAAAGCCTGGCAGAGCCAGCAAGACTGGAGTGCAGGCCACCTGCCCCATGAAGTGGGGAAGCCTGAGCCCGGGACCACCGATTTCCTGTGTGCCCAGCGATTGTCAGCACCAGAGAGCGCAGGGGACACTCACGTGAGCAGGTTCCCAGGGGCTGAGAGTGAGCGCTCCTCCCTCCGGCTGCCTTCAAAGGGGTTCCCAAAGGAGCGCTTCCGGATCATGGTCTTCACCAAGATCTGTGGGACAGAGGAGGTGGCAGGTGACTGCTGGGCCACGTGGGCACCTGACGTCCTCCTCCCACCCCCACCCCCACCAGCTCCCAGGGCGCAGGGCCTGGTGGGAAAGTGTGCTGGCAGCCGCTTCTGATCCGAGACCCGGGGCCAGAGCCATCCCGGGTCTGCGGCCTGTCCCCTGCTCCCAGATGCTAACTTGAAGCACAAGCTCTGGTCTGACATTCAAGGCCTCACATAACCAAGGCCCAGGACAGCGGCCCGCATGTCCCTGGTCATACCTGCCACCACATGTCGCCTGTGGGCCGCTCCTAGATGGACCCTCCCTGGCAGCCATCTGTTTTCAAGGCCTGGCAGCTCCTTTCACTGAAAGCTGCTGAAACCACTCCACCCCAAGAAGGAGCGGGCTCCTGCTTCTCCATGATTCACACGGAGGGAGGCTGCTTTTTAACACTGTGAGAACACTTGCATCCCATAAATTCACCCTCTCGAGAGATGGCTACCCCTCCGCAGAGCAGAACTCGCTTTCCACAGCCCGGTGAGGCTACCAAATCCTGATGCACCATGGTTCAGCGTCCCCATCATCTCCTGCGGTCTTCATATCCCCTGAGGATTGCTGTGCCAGACACAGCGCTATGCTATGCTGCTAGGGACTGTGGCAGAAGTCTGTACACATCCTACAGAGGTGCAGTTTTGTTTTTCCCAAGGTTTTTTTTTTTGTTTTTTTTTTTTTCATCTGCAATTGGTTGAATGCATAGATGTGGAACTCACGGATATGGAGCCAACCGCTTACAACTCTGTTTTGTGGTGCACCCACCATTATCTAAATTTAGAAAGTTACATTACCCCAAAGAGACCTCGTACCTATTGGCAGTCTCTCCTCACTCTCTGGAAACAGTAATCTTTCTGCCTGTAGAGATTTACCTAATCTGGACATTTTCTACAATAGAACCCTACAACTGGTGGCCTTTCGTGTCTGGGGTCTTTCAATTCCTGTTTCCAAGATTCACTCCCAGGGCAATGTGTGCCAGGGCTCCATTCACACGCACAGCCCAGTAACAGTTCTGTATGGCTGGGCACGCTGTGCCTCACCACCACCTGTTGGCACATGCTTGCTTGCGTCCAGTTTTGGGGAGATAGGAATACTGCTGCTATAAGGACTCACACTCAGATTTCTGTGGGAACACATTTTCTACCCAAAATGATCTCATTTCTCTTGGATATATACTAGGAGCAGAATTTCTGGGTCTTACAATAACTAACGTTCTGAGGAACTACCAGACTGTTTCCTGAGACATCATGTATCTATCTGCCCAGCAGCACACGCTCCGTGCAATGGCTTGTGTCCAGACCCGGCCCCCAAGCCTTGCGTGCTCATGGCTGCGGCTTTTTCATAGGTGGCTGGATCTAGAGCGTGTGACGCTGGGATTGATTCACGGTGCCATACTAGGATCAGGGCACTAGGACTAAGGGGGTGAGTGCTGCCCACGCTAAGTAGCCTGCATAAGACTATAAGATAAGTAAGGGATAGGAAGTGCTGTATGTGACCCTGTGGCCCTGCTACCTTCACCCGCCATGGACCATTTCTCCTCTGAGATGCCACCCTGCCCTGGAGCCAGCGGATAAGGGGCTGAAACCTCCGAACTGTGAGCTGTGGGAACCTTTGCTCCCTTAACTTTGGGCAGCAAGTGTTTTGTCTCAGCAACAAGAAAAGTGACTAAGAAGAGTGTAACTTTGAAGGAGTGACTGCATTACTATAAGAGGCTGGGAAACACTCCAGGTGCTGAGCACAGGCAGTGCAAGGGCTGGTGTGGGATATGCGGCCCACAGCTTTAGAATTTCTTCCAAATCTGAAGGGCACCAGGATCTGGCCCTCCTCACTGCTGGGGTGGAAACCTTACATGCCCCTGCCTCTTCCTCTACCTGGCAGAACCCAGCTTGGCTGGGAAGCAAGTCTGAGGCATGCGCCTCCACCCATCACCCACTGCTTAGCGTCCTGGCTCTGCCACCTCCTTCCTCCAACATGTTCCTTACCCTTTCTGCAACCTAAGTCTGATCCCCTCACCCCAAGGGCTGTGGGACTCAGCCTACTGCCAGCCAGGGAGCACTGGAAAGTTCTGGAGCAAAGGAAGAAACTATCACACCCCTGAATTCTGGGAAGACGTGTCAGAGGAAGCAGGCCTGAGAAGTCAGCCGCAGGCCCTCACCCCATCTTCCACTAGAGCACACAGCCTCCTCGTGGGGTTTCATGGAATGGCTGGGCTTCTGATTTTTTTAAGGGTTCACTGTTAAGAAAAAAAAACATTCCCTGACAAGCGCAAGGGCCTGAGTTCAATCCCCAGTTCCACTAAATAAATGAATAAATAAATAAATAAATAATAAAAAGCACTAATCCACTTAAATTTCCACTAACTGAATAGATATGAGGCCTATCGATACGCTGGATATAAAGGAATAGAGTGGGGGACCCAGGCTACATGATGAACACTAGTACACCATGCTAAGCGAAAGAGGGCAGACACAAAGGCCACCCCATCATGATTCTACCAATAGAAGTGTTCAGAACAAGAAGCCTGTAGAGACAGAAGACAGAGAAAACAGGAAAGTGAGCATTCACAAGCAAGAGGTGGTTTTTAGCTTCTTCCTTTTCTTGTTTTTCTTTTCGTGTGTGTGTGTGTGTGTGTGTGTGTGTGTGTGTGTGTGTGTGGTGTACAGTACTGGGCATTAAAGTCAGTTGTTGCACTGAGCCACTTCAGCCTACAATTTGATTTTTTTTTTTTTTTTTCAGAACTGGGGATTGAATTCAGGCCCTTGCACTTGCCAGGGAAGTGCTTATTCCACTGAGCCATCTCCCTGGCCCCAAAACCATACACTTTTTTTTTTTGGCAGAACCGGGGACTGAACTCAGGCCCTTGCATTTGCCAGGGAAGTGCTTATTCCACTGAGCCATTTCCCCAGCCCCCAGCCTACAATTTGAGACAAGATCTCCCCAAGTCACTAAGCTGCCCAAACCAGCAGTCTTCCTGCTTCAGCCTCCACTGCACTAACAAGAGGTTTCTCTTGAGGGGAGGAAAACGTCGGAGAATCATCAAGGCCATAACTGCAAATCACGACTGTCCTAAATACCACGGGAGTCCGCCAAGCGGCTCATTCCAGGGTGCCAGAATTCGAGCACCATAAACAGAGGAAAAGCGCCACCTGGAGACAGGAGGCTGTGCCTGCACCAGGCAGCCTCTCAGCAGCCAGCTCTCAGCAGGGCAAAGGCCCTCAGGTCCTGTGTCACCCCAGCCCCCGCCCTGTGCTCTTGCATGCTGTCCCCTGGACGTGCCCCCCCCCGACACCTGGTCCCCTCTCTGCTGGGTGTACCTTTTTTCCAAGGATGGGAGCCCCCGAGAACTGGTCCCGTCCTAACACTGGATGGGGCTCAGCAAGTCTCTGCTGCAGACAAACTCACTGAACCCACAGAGGGGGGCTGAACCTCATCAGTCCCTCTAGGGCCCACAGCCCAGCACCCACACAGCCCTCCCAGCCCCAACCATGCTGTATGACAACCCTGAAGAAACTTCCCATTCTGCTTCAAGATTTAAGTCTGAGCTGCACCTCCCTCCCCCACCTCCCCTGCCTCAGCAGTCTTGGTTTTCTGGAAGCTTGTAGCTGGCCCAGCTCCATCCCATCGCAGGACACTGCCTATGCTGCCCCTCTGTGAGCCAACTGATGCCCTACTACTCCCCCGGGGCACAGGGCCTCATGCCAGGAAGGCATCCCAGCCACGTGCCTGCCCAAAGCCCCCACTGTGTTCAAATGTTTCAAAATGACAAATGCCATCCCATTTCCCCAAGAAACTGCAGGGGAGGGGACTGAGTCCAAGGGACCGGAGTGGGCACAGAACGTGACATCCGTGCTGCTCCCACCTCAGGTGCAGGGCAGGGCAGGAGCATCTGTTGTGGTAAAGGTCATGTAGAGGCCCCAGGAGAGGAAGAGGCCTGCATCAGTGCTCACCACGGAGCTTTGGTTTTGGAAGAGAGAACAGTGCGCAAAGCAGAAGGGAGAGGCACAAAGCAGGAAGGGAAGGGGCCAGCATCTAGGCTCCCCAAGTCCCCTTGAGGGAGGCTGCTGTCCTTGCAGGCTCTTTTGGGTCTCCCTGGAGGCCAGGGCCCACCTGCCTGGCCCTGTGGCTGGCCCTGGCCAAATGCAAGCTAGGCCTTAAATGTGACCGTGGGGGGCAGCTTTCTGGACCCCGTTCCTGAGCTCCCTCCTGGAAGCAGGCACCCTCTTAGCAAATCCTACAGTTTCCAAGTTCAGGCCTGATTCTCCACATTCTGGTTCCTTCTCCCTGGATCAGGATCCAAACTCAAGGCCAAACAGGTATCCCAGTGGCTCCCAAAGAAAAGCTCACCCTCAGCAGTTGGAAAAGCCCACCTTGCTTCCAGGGGCAGTGCCTGCCCAGCTGTTGATGGCCCCTGTGGCAGGCATGACACAGTGCCATCTGCTCGTGGCCTCGGCTCGGCCCCCGCCCCTCCTGCCTGGATGCTCTTCCTGGCCCTGCTCTGGAAGCAGGGATTCCAGAGGGGCACCATGGGCCTCTCCGGCCTCTCAGGCACCTGTGTGCTCCTCACGTATCTGCTCTTGCTAGGCCACCTCAGACTCTCTGTCCCTGCTCTCAGAATCATCCCGCCTTACCACAGTTGCCAAGCTGGGGATGTGTTTGACCGAATTCTCGACTTCCTCTTCGGTCACCTCGACCAGAGTGCAGTTCTCATCCTCTGATGGTAATGGCTCGGCCCCGTGCCTCGTGACCCAGGGGTGCAGCTTCAATGAAGGACAGGAGGGGTGAGGGGCAGGCACAGCTAGCTCCTAGGGGCACGCAGAAGGGAGCGGCAGGACCAGTGGCCGGGCATGCAGAAAGCAGGTGGCCAGGCAGAGGGGGTGCGAGGGACAGAGGTGGGGAGCAGCCAGAGTCAGAACAGAAGGAGCAGGGGCCTGAGATGTGCATGGCTGGGTTCTCCACTGGCCCAGGTTGTGGCAGAAGTGACCACAACTTGGCATCAGCCTTGCTCGGCTGTCCAAGGGGCACCTATCGCTCCTTAGCAACTCCCCCTGACACCCAGAAGGCTCAGCTCAGACAGGTGACATTTTCCCCATGTCAGATGAGACACAGCAGCCTAGGGACACAGTGAGACCAGCAGGAAGGACACAATCAGGAGAGGACCCAGGCTAGCACCTGCCCACCTTCCCCTGGGTCTAGGTCCCCACTGTGGGTGAGGCCTCCCTTCCAGTGCCTCGGAGGACCCTGAGTTCCTTTGAGATTCCTCAAGGAGCCGCACCTGTGCGAGCGGCACTGGGGACAGGGACAGAGGTCTCTCCAAAAAATACTTTCTGCAACAAGATGGCACCCAGAAGGTTGGGGGACTGAGGGGTTCTGCTTCCTCCCATGCTCACTGCGTTTCCTCAGGGGCCCACAGCTCTGACAAAGGTCAAGGAAAAGACCCGTCTGTGGAGCACAGAGACCCCAGCCAGCTGGCCTGCAGAGTGGACACCAATAGCTCAAGCCCACCAGAGCATGTGAGGGCTGCAAGTGACTTGTAGGTTGTGCTCTGCCTGCCAGGAGATGCAACCTCAAATCCTCTTCCCCACCCCTCAGGGCCCCAGCAGTCCAGAGGCCCCAGGACATGGAGGGCAGCAGTGTATACCATGGACCAGGACAGGGCTTGGCTGAGGTGGGTCCAACCAAACAATCCCAAGCACAGGATGCAGGCAAACCTCAGGCTCAGTGTCTGCAGCCAACAGCAGCCCCCAGGTACCTTGATTTCTGGCACCACGATCCTTGACTCAGGGTTCTTGTCCAACATACGGGTGATCAGGTCTTTTAAGTCCTCAGCTATATCAGGCCTGGAGGTAGGAGACACAGCATAAGAGGGAGACAGGATGCCAGGACCTACTCAGGCAGAGAGGTGACAGCATGGGTGGACAATACTCACTGGTCTGGGAATTCCAGGGCCTGACTCTTGATCTTACTGTGCAAGCACATGATCCGCTCATCCATGAATGGGCACTGGGAAGACAGAGGAGCAGTGGCCACTGGCTGCCATATCACAGGCCACTGTGCTGCGCCCCTCCACATGGGCTATAGCAGAGATGTGGGCAACCCTAGCCCCATCTGGAAGGGAGTGGGTCCCATCTCTCAAAGTTCCAGAAGGACCAGGAAGGTTCTAGAAGGGCTGGAACCCTTCCCAGTAATAACACTGTAAACTGCTATTTACGAAAAGCAAACACCCTCCTTCACCCATCTTCCAGAGACCAACAAAAATACTGAGGTCACCACCCAGGAGGGCAGTGACGCCAAGAGCTTAGCCTGACCCAGGCTCCACATTGAGGCTTTCTGCAACCAATGTCTCACCCCAGCTACTCCCCAACAACAATCCTACCCAAGTGGGCAAGGCTTACTCTCTCTGACATGCAGCTGTTTGACCAAAGCTTCCTCCGGGAAGGCTTCCCAGAGCCACATGGGAGCCCATCCTTGCCCCCACGTCACTGAGCATTGCGGCAATGGCTGTGGCGCCCCTGTGGACAGGGTCTCCCCCAAAACTGCTTGTCCCTGACACTGTGTCTGTCTGCTGAGTGTTCAACTCCTCCTCTGGAACATCTGCTCCGGGAAGGCAGGAATTTGTTTCTGCTTCCTCTCTGTGGATTTCCCAGAGTCTAGAAATATTCCTAACATACAGAGGGGTCGGGAGATAGCTGATGAACTGATGACAGCGTGAATTCTCTCTGTGTGTCCTCTCAGAAGCCTTAAGAACAGCATGCGAAGTGCTCGGGAGCAGGAGCGTGGCTCTGCGGTAGAGGAGTGCCTCTTAGCAT